ACACGCACTCTCTCTCTCAAAATAAATCAACATTAAGAAAATCTGTTTCTAAGCCTCAGCTACCCAGAAGAGCCTCTTCGTCATCCCCATTCTGAGTCTTCCTAAGAACGCACACTGCCCCAGTTATCAAGAGCTTTGAAACTACCTCTCCCCATTCTAGCTGTGAATCATTCGTTCTGCTCAAGCCACATGATCTTTCCTGCATTACTAAATTTAGAGTTTTCAAAATTGATATCTAAAAAAAATTTTAAAGCACTTATCTTTGGAAAAAAATGAAGTCATCCCAAATTTCCATAAAAATATGGAAATTAAAATTAAAGTTCTACTATAAGACAAATTAAAAGATGTGATTATATGCGCTATCTAGGCAAGCCGAAGCACAGAACCTGGGTGCAGTCTGTTTCCTGAGTCTGTCCTATAAATTGCTAAACTACTCAAGTAGGACTATGATATATTTCATTTCTTAGACATGTTCCTTTGCTATTTTAAGTAACTTACATGATTAAGGAGGCTGTAAGCTACAGTTTGATGAAATGCACATTTATCTGCTAGGTTATTATATCTAAAATACAGCTTTATGCTTATCAAAAATGAAGCAATAACTCCTAGGACCTTCTAAACTGGATTGTTATCAAGGCTTCTGTTAGACACATATGGCCATTTTTCATATATGTGACCAGAAAAACTCAGAAAATATGGAATGGACATTCTTCTCTACCAAGTTATAGTCACATGAGCCCATGTTATGAGGGAGGGGTTGATCACATCATGGCGCTGGATAATGACCAAGGTTTCTTTTTCACCTGGGTTGATTTACTGACTACAGGATCTTTTTTTTTTTTTTTTTTTAAAGACTACAAGCATAAGAATAAAGTTAGCATTGTGTCTCAACCTCCAACACTGCATCAATTCAATAAATCTGTGTAGTTCAAGGATAACTCAGAGGTAGAGGTTATCAAACTCCCCTTCATAATACTTGATACCATCAACCTCTGTTTTTACTTCTTCACCTCACTTGATTTACTAACTAGGGAGGCTACGTGTGCCTGTGTGTGTTTTAAGAATACAAAGATGTTATGTGGAAACTAATTTGACAATAAACTATTTGTAAAAAAAAAAAAAGAATACAAAGGTAAGAACCAACTATATTTTGTATCAGAACCTGCAACAAGGTATCAGTTCAATAAATCTGAGCAGTTCAAGGTTAACTCAGATCAGGGTGTCATCATCCCCTTTATAATGCTTGATATTTTACCTTTCACATGTCTCTGATTTGTAATCACTTGTGATACTACTATGATCAACTTCCAAACCCTACTGAAAAGTATTACAATTTACTAAAATTCAGTCTGAATCATTTTGCTGTCATGTAAACTTACATTATATACAATTTCTGTTCATTTTACCCTCAGCAATACTAGTACAAGAGAAAAGTGTAAAAATCACATTAAGGGAAACTTCCAATTTATTCAGTGACTAACTAAATGGATATTGAGTACTATATATCAAGTTGTATGCCAAACTCATATACAGCTGTTATTAAAGCTGACAAACTCTTATCAGAACGAGGAAACTTCTGCAAAGTCTGACAAACAATACTTAAGAGTTTTACAATGGTAAAAGCATATATAGATAGCTTTTACCTTTCTTACATAATGTGCCAAAACAAATTAAGGCCAGAAGGAAAAGTTCAAACAATGCATGGGTTATACCTGTGTGTTTTCTACTAAATTTAAGTGGCATCTTACTAAAAGAATTTGCTTTCAAATATTCATGATAAGGCACATCTTTATCAATTTTTAGGATCCAATTAAAATTCAAAGAGAAGCCTCTGATTCAATTCCTGATAAAATGAGTCGGTACACTTCACTTTAATAATAAGCCTATAATTTGCACCCTGATTCAGTGATGTGTCTGAAGCCAAATTCAATCTTCTGCCTTTAAAGTTTCTCAGCATCCATTAGCTGAAATTTTTGAAAACTTACTAGTTCTGCCAAGGCCACACATACATAAATATCTGAACTACAAAAGATGGGTCACCTTTCCAGAAGTAACTGATTTCATGAGAGGAAAATAGCAAATACTTATATTAAATAACAAATTCTGAATTAGACAAAAGGAGGATGTCCCATCTTATGACCAATGGACCTACATTACTGAATGTATTAAATAAGAGGCCTTTTAAATTTACCTCTGTAAAAGGTACAGTCTAAATCCTGAAGGAAGTCCTGATGGAGTCAACAAAGTCAAAATCTAAAGGGTACAGAACAAGAAAGTGCAGAGAAAGTGTAGTGGTCAAGAGTGTAGGCGCTAAAGCCATCAGCTTATGTATTGGGATGAACAAGTTAGAACTTCTCTGGGCCTCAGTTTCCCGTAAGTAAAATAAGAATAATATTATCTATTTCATAGGTTTGTTGTCAGAATTAATTGAAATGATACACCTATGAGGAACTTAGAACAGTACATAGAAATGCTCAAAAAATAAAGCTGTTACTATGTAATTCCTCTACCAGTAGAGTACACCCAAAATTTATGGTGCTATGAGTTTTTTGGCAGGTTGGTTATTTGGAAAACTGAATGTTTTCCTTCTGAGAAACATTTCAGGTAGGTCCCTTCTCTCTCTTCACAGGCCTGTCCTCATGCAAACCTGACACAGGTTTGCAACTGCTCATCAGTGGTTCTGGCACTCCACGTCAGTCGCCACAGAGCCGGCAGCATATTTATAAACATGTGACATTTTCTTCCTTACATGTTCTCAGTAGCTCCCTACTGCCTGCAAATGGAGAGTCCAATTTCCTTCATATGACCCACAAGGCTCTTCACCCTCTGTTCCCAGTTTCACTAGTATAACTTCTTTGAATAGCTGGAGTCATAGCAGACAATTCATTGTGTCCCAAATAGCCCATGCACTTTAAGAGACTGTGTGCCATGGTACATACTTTTCCTGTATGTCTGAGGAAACTGTCGTCTCCACCCCCAGACAGAAATTTATTCATCCTTCTAAGGCCTACATGAAAGGCCACATATTCATTTCTTCAAAACGAAAATCTACTTAATACTAAAATGTGCAAGGAAGGCCCTTTGAAAATAAAGATACATAGCACACAGTTCCAGCATTTGGGGAACCTATATCTGTAAGGAGAAAGACATGCTAAGATAATAACAGAGCATACTATGAGTAATATGTATAAGACAGAAAGCAATGCCTAAGCTGGGTTCTGCAGGATATGGGGTTCTCTCTTTCCATCCTTACCATTTTAATTGGATCATGACTGTAATAACTACCTCTACCACTTCCTTTTAATAATACTCAAAACATCGTATTACAGTCTTGTTTAATATCTATCTCCGTTAAGACTGTAATTCTACGGCAGAAATTTTTCAACCTTTGTATCCTCAACATGGAGTAAGTTATCCAACTACATTAGAAAATTAGGTTTCCACATTACCCCAAACCTTTCTTAATCCACAAAGTAACTGATCTACAGTAGCAAGAGAACCTCAGAACCTAACTGGCATTGACAATACTACACTGAAAGGTCAGAACAGCTCTAACTTGGAATTATTCAGTACTTGAACAGACTAATTTCCATCTGAATTTGTAAGCAGTACTGATATTTTGCTTCAAAGGTAGTGTTTCTTTCTCTGACAACCCCACATGAACTAGTCTATAGTACAGGAAGGGTCAGAACCACAAGTTCTTATTGCTGCTCAACAAATTGACTCTTCTCCTCAACTCCTTTGGAAGGAGATGAGGAGTGTAATTACCTAGAGACTACAGTGACCATTTCATCTTCTTGGTCTTGGAAATCCAGGCTTATCAATTACTTAAATTTCTGTGAAAAACACACTCCGCAGCAGACATGTTTTAGGTACTGGGAAAGAGCAATCTCTACTCTTAGGGAACTTACATTCCAGCTGGGAGAGACGCACAACAATTACACAATATGTCAAATGATTGGGAAAACACTGAGAAAAAGCATGAGAAGTCAAAAAGTGAAGGCAGGGAGACAAGATGAAGGAAGAGTAGTGGCGGTACATTGTGGAAGGGGATCAGAGACCAGTCTTGCAGATAAAACACTGGATCAGAGATAGAGGAAGTGAGGGAGAAACACACAAGCATTTGAAAAATACTCTAGGTAGTGAAGTCCCAGCAAGTACTGAAACCCTGGTGTGGGAGCCTGTTTGATGTGTTAAGTCACAAGGATATCAATGTAGCTAGATTACAGTTAGTAGTTGTAGGGAGGAGAGTAGGAAATTATGTTATTCTGAGATGGGGACCCAATGAACCATCGTGAGGAGATAACTCACGTAATCTGTACATTATAAAGGAAGAGCTCCGGCTATTACAAAGCTCCAGCTAGTAGGAAGGAGCAATAACTGGACAGAAGGTCAGGGACCGTCGCAATTTCTTGTAACCAAAGAAGTTAATGCCAAGAATGATGGTCTTAAAGAGGTGCAGCATGGTCAACCTGAGGGCTGAAGGCCTCAAAGTACCTTTCTTCTCTTTCAATAGCAAGCGTCTCTGAGAGTTCAACTGATACTTTTATTTATTCTACTTTAACCAAGTACTCTTGTTTCATTCATTGCTATCAGGTCTCGAACTCCCGGGTGACGCACCGACCACAGAAGTCAAGTACCACTTATCTCTCTCTAACTTCTTTGGCCTTTCGCTCCTTCCCTACGAAGGAGCGAAACCTATCCCACTCGTAATTTAAAATAACCCCCCTTCCCTTTGCCTACTGTCATTGTAACCTTTCTGCTGCTGTCAGCACCAGTTGCATACGCTTTAATTAGTAACAGTGACAGTGGAAATATCTAGTAAAAGGATGTGGAGTTTCAAAGCGTCCGCTACCTAGTCTTCTCACTGGGCCCAAATCTCCCCTCCGATGCCACGCCGAGATAAAACTAGCAGCAAAGCCACTCGCATCCCCTGCTTGCCCCAAGTTTCAACCGGGCCTTTCTTTTCAGCAGCCCACAGTTCAACCCTAGAGCATTACCTCCACTGTCGGTAGCGTCTTTGCCCTCCTCTTCCAACTCCGAAGCGACTGCCCTGGCTACCATTTTCATCTTCTTTTTCTTCTTTAGAGAATTTTTCAGCTTTTTCCCCGCACCCACACGTGAGTCCCTCACGGCCGCAGCCATCTTTCCTCACCGGAAGCGACCAGTGAGAAAATCGCGACCGGTGGTAACAAAAAGAACTTCGGCATTTAGTTCCGGGGACACAAGGTTCCGGGGCGGGGCCCTCTCGCCGGAAGTTCCGGGGCGGGGCCTCAGCTGGGGAATTGGTGAGTGTCTGGTTGAAGTCCGCTCGGGTGATGGGGACCATCGGGCGATGCGCGTTCCCAGCCGCCTCCCTGACCAGCTCGCCCTTGCCTCGGACCGCTGCCGCAGCCGGGAGCAGTCCACCTTGACTCCCTCCCTGCACCAATTCCCTTCAGTGCGGCTTTATGGAAAGTTGGTTTCGGGGGTTCCTCCAGCGTCCCTCCGGGCCTCCTAACCGCGCCCGCGGCTGGGCAGCAGGAGAGCGCGCTCGGCGGCGCTAATTAGAGTCTGAGAGCACCGTCCCCTCTCCCCAGGCACCGGCGTCGGAGTCACGACGCCACGCACCACATCTTCCTCAAAAACGTTGTCACACAGTCTCCCTCTGATTAACCCTTCACGTGGCTTCCAATCGCAAAACGAATAGAGCGTCGCGTTCCTCCCCTGGGTTCGGGCCTCTCCCGCGGGCCTAGCTCTGGCTCCCACGGCCCCGGGCGGACGCGCTGTGCTCCTGCCTCCGTCCCCGGCCAGCCTGTCCCCGAGGCCAGCCTGTCCCCGAGGCCAGCCTCTGCCGGGGCGGCGCCTCCGGGCGGCTACTGCAATCTGCCCCTGCCGCCCCCTCCCCCACCCCACCTAAATTGTTGGCTCCTTCGAAGTAGGGACCATAGCTCACTCACCATTGTATCCCTCAGGCTAGCAAAGCTGACCCAGGGCAGGAGATCAAAGTACACTTTTGGAAGGGGTGAATTAATGAATGACAATGCAACTACTGACAAACTTGATTAGTCAGACTAACAATACAGTGATGGGTGTTGGGGGGAAGGGGGGGATGGGCATGGAGGGGGGCACTTGTGGGGATGAGCCCTGGTTGTTATATGGAAACCAACTTGACAATAAACTATTTGTAAAAAAATAATAAAAATAAAATAAAATATGAGGAAAACCACTGTAAAAAAAAATACACTAAAACTTTGTATCCTGTTCTGTAGACCAGGTATATTCTAAATAAATAAAGTCTTTCCCTAAGCTTAGCGTTTTCCTGATAGAAGGCTTCTTGGTTTTTAATACGTAAAATCTGTAAAGGAGTTCGGATTTCTCATTTCCACACATTCCAGATGGTGTGGGGGTGGGGGGGGGAGATTATATTTACGTAACCCCAAACTCAATACGTTTTAAAATAAAATGCTGTTTTGTTTTTAACAGTACAGGAAGTGTTATAGTCCAAATACAATTGGCAAAAAAATAAAATAAATAAAATTCCAGAGTAAATCTTTTGAAAAGTGCAGTTACCGTCAACTGGAGAAGCACAACCCCTTAGGAGATTGCTGGGGCGGGGAAGTTCTCCCAGTCCTGCTCAGCGTCCATCTTCACTGCCGCTCAGTGCCACTCACCTGTGACCTGCTGACTTTCATACTTAACCCTTGTTTTTGCCTAGTGTTCTACACTGAGTTCTAAACAACGTTGGGAAAGCCTTGAAGAAAATTGTAGAGAAGGAAGCAAACCTGAGAGACAAAGATGATTACAGTGCGAAGGAGGCCGTGTGGCATAACAGGTACCATCTGCCAATATTGTTGAAGATCAGCAGTGGGGTTTTGAGCATTTTACATCTTAATGTGATGGTTTATTTATAAGTAGGGATTTACTATGTTTAGCTGCAACTTCAGAAATTGCTTGGGGGTTAGAATTGATTGATCGTTATTCATTCAAATTTTTCTTTTTTAAAAAGTAACACAAAACAGGCTCCAGATTCTCCTGCAGAAATGTGATTTTCAGAAAGGGATTACTACTGTTAAGTGGGAGATTCCTGTATTAAAAATCTTCATAATGAACCAGTGAGCTAGGTATCGTTGTTCTTGTTTTAAAGAACAAGAGGAAACTGAGGCACAGAGATTAAATGATTGCTCAAGGTTATACTGCCAGTAAGTGGCCGCATCACATTTAAACCCAAGAAGTCTGCCCCAGGGTCTGTTCAACCACGGAGCTATATTGTCTACTCAGACTGTTGCACTTGAGCATTTAACAAGAATGTATTGAGAACAGGCAATGGAAATTCTGGCAAGCACTAGAATTCATAGACTTAAAACCAACAAATCTCAGCCCTTACAATGAACTAAGATCATTGAAAGGCTTGCAAATAGAATGTCCATTGTATGGTGGAAATGGCTGAAGTCACCTATATACTTACACGAGCATTTGTACAAACGTACCCGTGGTAGTTGTCTGTTTATTACCTCTCAGTGCCCCATTCACCCTTTTTGGCTGCTCTCTGAAAAAATAGGCAGATCCTTGAACTATTTTTCTGTTGCCTACCAGGAGATGTTAAGCTTTGTCAGTAGAGGGCACTAGAATGACATTATAAGAAGAAGGAGCCCTCTTCGCGGGTCCAGTATGATTCGTCCTTCAGACTCTCGCCTTAGCTTTTCTTTCCCCAAACTGCTGCAGTACCGGTAGCTTCTCCAGCATCTGGTTTCTGCAGTGCGCACTGGTCAGTGGCACCTAGTGGCCAGCAGCTTTCCCTGGCCAACACCCTTTGGCATCACACAGCGGAACACTTCCAGCAGAACAGCCCCCCATGAATAATTTTCTCTGGCACCTTAAGGGGCATCAATTTCTAGAAAGTTCGGGAGGGTAGATTTCCAGCAAGTTTTTCTGGCTTAGCACCAGTGAGCCACTGCTATGCCCTTTCCAACAAGATCTGAGTGTCAGTTATGTGTGTGAGTTTGGGGAGGGACGTCTTCCTCGGGTGCTTTATTTCAGCTCAGGTGGCATTCTCTCTTCCTCTTATCTGCGGTTACTCTACCCCTTAGAGTTCTCTTCCTTTCTGACTAGCCAGTCCCTTGTTACTCCAATGCTCTGTTATAGTTAACTCTTCTTTCTATTAAACATTCCTATTCAAATTACTAAATAGTCTCCATCTCCTGATTGGCCCTGACTGATGTAAAGCTAGAATGGGTGATGTGATGAAAATATTAGCAGCACCCACATACTGTCCCTGTCTGCCCTCGGCACTATTAGAAGGTTCCACAGAGGGCTACTCATTTTTGGAATAATCAGAGGAATTAAAAGAGAGATTCCTTGTTAAAACACCAATGTTTAGAGGAAGATAACAGATAAAATGATTTCCCCCAGGGAATTTGCTCCAGCGTGGCTGATGTGAGTACACTGAAGCCCTCTAAACTGAGGAACATGGAACAGAAAAGAGGGAAGAGTAATTGCACAGTGTACCCAGAGCAGGGGGTGCTGCTGTCTGGCAAGGTCTGAATGCAAAAAGGATTGGACAGCGGCTCTGGAAAGAGATTCTAGATAAGTGAGAGTCCATGAGTTCTCTACACAGAGAAAAATCTATGAAGGGAGACCGTAAACAGAAAGAAGATATCGTGGTGAATATCAGCATTGCTATTGGAAAGGCACAAGAAAGAGGGATCAGGATTGAGAGTTAGGAGAACGAAGAGCACAGTGAGATATATTTCCCCAAAGAACCGCTTGTCACTGATGTTACATTCTACTATGATCCCAAAGGAAAAGAAATCACAAAATTTAACTGATGTGTCACTTTAATGAGAGATATCAAGGAAAGTTTTTAAAAACTGAGATGATATACCATGCTCCTAAAGGAGAGATCAAGTGTTCTGAAGTTATTTATTTATACCAACCAAAATCCCACTTGAATAGATTTTGAGAGAGAAGAGGCAGAGGGTGATGTCTTGATAAAATAATTCTAACGTTCAAAATAAGTAAATGAAAATAATATTCCTTAAAAAGGGAGACTTGAGGTGTAGCTTCCCTTTTTAGATATTAGAATATAAGTGTATGCTAATTAAAATATACAAAACAAAAGAAAAAACAAGTGTAAATGAAATACATTCTAGAATATATAAAAATAAAATATTATACAGGAAGCATCATGAATTAAAAAAATGGGCATTAGTCAACACTTATTTCAGTAAATTAATAATTTACAGAGAAAAATAGAATTAGAGGCTCACATCTTATACTAAAATTAATTCCAGAATTAAATATGAAACAAAATGTCAAAAGAAAAAAGAAAAAGATCTGATTTATTGGGATTGTAGAAACAACTCTCCAATTTAAAATCAATGAGAGTGAGTTCTAAAAATGAGAACAATAGATCTAATATATAAAAACTAAAAACTATTGGGGCACCTGGCTGGTTCAGTCAGTTAAGTGTCTGACTCTTGGTTTTGGCTCAGGTCTTGATCTCATGATTTTGTGGGTTCAAGCCCTGCATCAGGCTCTGTGCTGAAAGTGCAGAGCCTGCATGTGATTCTTTCTCCCTCTCTCTCTCTCTGTCCCTCCACCACTCATGCTGTCTTTGTCTCTCTCAAAATAAATGAACAAATTTAAAATAAAACTGTTGGGGCACCTGGGTGGCTCAGTCGGTTAAGCATCCGACTTCAGCTCAGGTTATGATCTCACAGTTCATGGGTTCGAGCCCCGCGTAGGGCTCTGTGCTGACAGTTAGCTGAGAGCCTGGAGGCTGTTTTGGATTCTGTGTCTCCGTCTCTCTCTGACCCTCCCCTGCTCACGCTGTGTCTCTCTCTCAGAAATAAATAAAACATTTTTAAAAATTTTTTAAAAATGAAATAAAAACTATTGATTTTAAAAATACTCAAAATATAACAGTAAATAGGAAGTGAATTAGGCAGAAAGTAAATTTTAAGATGATTACAGAAAAGAATTCATATGATTTCTGCATCTGGTCAAGATGGAGTAACAGGAATCAAATTTAATCTCCCATTTGGTACAACCAAAAAATAGACAAAATTCATGGAGCAGTGGTTTTCAAGAACTGGACATCAATTCAGCTAACATCATCCTCAACGGGGAAAAACTGAGAGCTTTCCCCCTGAGATCAGGAACAC